GACAGGAAAGCGGCAGCCAGCAGACAATCGCCTGGTAGCAGCTCGATGCGTTTCAACAAGTCTGCCACCGTGGCCTCCCAGCGATTTTTCTCGCCGGCCAGACCGCTGACCAGTTTACTCGCACGGTCGAGCATTTTCTCCGTGTGCTCGGCCCGTTTGCGGAGCTCCTCTTTTTGTTCCATCTGAAAGATGAATCCGACCAATGAATTCATTTATTTATCAATAATTTATCAATAAATTACTAAACATCGTGTGAAATTGGGCCTTTTGATTGATATTCTTGGGTTAAATAGTGAAGAAGACACAGTAGATAGTAAAACTAGGTAGTTCAAGATAATTGCATGAGCGTTTAATTGTACAGTATATTGCACTAATCCTTAGTACCGTCTGATCTCATCTGTCAATTGAAACACGTTGTCTTATAAACTTGAATGCATGGTAAAATAAAAATGCTAGGATATGCGTGTTCTATTGGCTAGATTAACCAATAGTGTTTTGATTGGTTGTTAGAGATAGTGAACTAAGTAGTGAGAAGCCAGTTTTACTTTCTTCAAACAGAGTTCCTTCACTTTTGATGATAAGAGTAAAAGATCAAAGCAACTAATCATATGACGCATTTATTTACTATTGGAAACCAACATCACTTTGTAGAAGACCCTTTATATTTCGTTTAGGAGAGAAGAAAATAAATTTAGCAGGCCACACTAGTACAGTTGTTTTATATAGGCAACTTCATAATGATCATTGAAAGTAAACTGTTACAATTCGAGCTCTGTGATAATCTCAATGCTGCATCCTTTATTTTCTGGGACAAATCCCACAACTCCGGTTTCCTGACCATCCAACTCAATGAAATCAGTAATAGTTTCCATCTTAATAGGGAAAGCAGTACTCAAATAATGCCAACTGAGCAATAGATAGGGAACTAAGAGCCACCCAATCAGTACACAACAAAACAAGTCACCTTAGCATTGTATTCGTTTTGAAGACGAAGAATCTCGGCGTTAATTTCGTCCAATTTGGCTTGCGCTTGAGCCAGTAATTCCTGTTTCTCACGCAGGACAGCCTCCGCTTGTTGCAACCTTTGACGTTTGGGTTCCACCACTCGATAAACGCGACCGTATACGTCAATGGCACGGACCCACATGCACAGGGACTTTGCAGCGCTAGATACCTAGACATAAGAGAAAGCATGATTCGGATATATTTATATTATTTATTTAACACAGGCTTGAGAACAAGTATGATGCCAACGCCACAATGATAATAACAATAAAAATAACGCGCGGGGAGTTTAGGATACAGAGTATAAGGAAACAGATGTAACTGTCAGAATAGAAGATTACGAACGAATGGAATAACCATTTTTGTGTTTCACAGTACACTTTTTCAGATTTTTTTCGTGTTTTCTGTTTTTTTTTACGGGGCACGGGATTTTGACATGCAGACCAAACAGCATTCGCGTCACTGACTTCTATTCTGGGCCATATCTCTGAACGTCTCTAACCAACGATAATCTCCCTCCCTTGGGCCCCAACCTGGAGGGCGGCCTGCACCAATCGAAGCCAAAGCTGAAGCCAGCTTCTTCATGTCTCTACGCCATGTCATGATCTGACCGCTGCGCCGCTTCTTCCAGCCCTGCCCGGTACATGCGAAGAGAGCACGGAAAGGTAGTTGACGGGCAGGCATACACAATACATGACCAAGCCATCGGAGGCGATGAAGAGCGATTACTTCTGTTAGAGAGCGACTATCCGTACCCAACAAACGACGACGAACATCGTCATTGCTCACCCGGTGTTCCCAACAGACACGAGCAATGCTTTGGAGACATCGGTGGTCGAATANTCCGCACCCAAAAAACGACGACGAACATCGTCATTGCTCACCCGGTGTTCCCAACAGACGCGAGCAATGCTTTGGAGACATCGGTGGTCGAATACAGAAGTCGATTAGCATCCTCAACGCGGAGGGGTCAGGTTTCGCAACCGTAAAGTAGAACACTACGAACCGCGGGGATGTACACCCTTCCCCTTGAGGGACAGTCAGATGTCACAGGTGTCGCAGGTTGGTGAACGCTGCTCTAGCTTTCGCTATTCGTGATGTGATCTCCTCCCTAACACCCCCACTCACCGCGATCAAGCTCTTGAGTTTCTTGAAGCTCTCAACTACTTCTAGCTGCTCACCAGTCTAGCTGATTTGGATAGATCAATTACCACCCCGAAACAACTCAACCACAGACAGAAAGTCGCATGATTCGAGAGATAACTATCGTCTCGAAACTACGAATACTTCTTCAATTGAATAAGTGTGGTCTATCTGCTATGTATTCAAAATAACTAATATATCTTTACTTTGCGACAGAGACTTACTTTTCCAACTACGTCCGGATGAAAATCATCTTGCGCACAATACTGTCCAATTTTCTTCAATGTTCGATCGTTGATGTTGTCCTTGTCGAAATTCACCAACTGTTTGATGAAGTCCTGATCGCCGAGTTGTCTTTTCGCTTCAGTCCACGTGGGCTCAGACCCACGGAGTATCATCACAGCCTCCATTACCTTCGTAAAAGAACGTAAGGCAAATCATGTTTCAGAAGATATGGTCGGAAACTATGGTTTATGTGTTTTTGCGTTTCATGTTTGTTTTTACTGCAAAATCATTTGGCTAAATTCATCGTTTACATCTCAATTTTTGATAAATAACAAACGCATCGAAATGAGTGCTATTTTGGGGACTTTTATGCAGATCTGGGAATAGTTATCATACCACTTAAAATATAGCCCTTAATTGATAAAATACAGCAGTGATTATCGCTGAATGACGTTTGACTTTCGAAAGAACCAAAATAAATTAGGCTTCAACTACAAATTTTAATATTAGGCCTTATGTTCATCGAAAAATGTAGGGGTGTGCAAAAGGGAATTATTCGAAGTTTTACATGAACTCTCTATATATTTTAGCCCATAGATTTCGGAGATCAAACTTTGCCGAATTAGGGGTTGTTAAAACAACTTTGGGGTCACCAAAATCAATTCCCTCCATTAGAGTGATAATGTTGAGTGTTGTAAACTGATGCATCTTCTCAATTTCTTTGCAACCTTACTCTACCGGAATTCTCGATTTCCCCTTCGACGCTACTTTCAGATTTCTTGTCTTTCTCCTACGGCTTCATCCAAATGGGTAGGCAAAAACAGCAACCAAAACCGGCGCACGTAAGTACGCGGTTAATCGTTCTACAAACTGAAAATAATGAACACTCAATCCTTAACGGGACGAGTAACACGTTGAATATGCAAGATAAACTTTTTTCCGTTAAACACCGTGATCGACTTCGGATGTGACGAGAAGGTTGTTGGAAAATAATGGCATGTTGCCTACCTTTTGAACTAGATAAGGCGGTTTTCCGTAGGATTTGATCTCACTGATATCTTTTTTGTTCAGGGCTTCAAGAGCTTGAACCGCTGCTTCCAGGGCTGGCATCGCTTGGGCCAAATCGGCCATAGCCAGTTCAGCCATGTGCATACATTTGGCTTCGTCCACTTTGATTTTCTCTTGTGTTTGCATCACAGACTGAGAGAGAGAAACACGAAAGGATAATAAATGGTGGTAATGAATCAGTATCGAGGATTCATAAATATGCTTTTCTGGATAAAATCAGCGCTCTCTTATTGCGCACAGATTGTAGATTTCATTGAACCTGAGGAGAATAAAGCACTTTTAGAAGCACCATAACTTTTTTTGTTCTACTCCACTATTTGCAACCTATTTTCAAACAGTTAGCCGGTCTCAGAAGGTGAAGCGCTGTTTCACTAGCGACATCCTAACCTGACAAAATCTGTTCAACTTTTCACTTAACAAGACATAATAACAACTCATGAGTTACGCAGACAGTTACCCGAATGTGACTACCGGGTTTACCGAACACAGTTGGGGATTACCAGTGATCATACTTTGTATTCGATGAAAAATATCACCTCTATATGACCCAATTGAGAAACGTTCGCCTTCAAAGGAGCAGGAGGTGTATAAAACAAACGGTGGGCTAGCGATTAGTGCATACGGACGCTACTTGATTCTGGTGAAAATTCTCGGATGAGAATTTTCGCCAGTAATGGAGAACACAAACCGAGAACTGGGGTTCTTCATAACCAAAGACTGTTCCTCCTTGGTAAGAACTTTGCTCAAACCACGGGGAATCACGTTCTTCTTTAAATAGGAATTTTACGTAAGTCACTGATTGACACCGAATTGTAAATGGTAACATTCACCCATAAATATACATTTCCAGCTGTAACTTCGGATGACTCTACCGTAACTTTACTGGTAGGATGTTTCAGAGCGGGAAATTCTTTTCAGTAACCTTAATCATGTTCATACAAACCAAGTAGGCTCATAAAATGCCGATCATTCGAAAAGTTGTAGATTTGTGGACAAACCGAAGTGCTGCATATGCAAATGATCACTGAGATCAAAATTTTCAGGGAGTTGACACCGTCGTGTAACAGTTACAAATTATTACCTCCTTTTTCATGGATGTTTGGCGCACAGTTTTCGGTTTAACGCCGCAAACTCGGTTTCTTCTAAACTACTGTGACTATCATAGAAACTAGAGGCCAGGTGAAAAAGCTAGTGATTATGATGGTGATCTCACATGTGGTTATTTCGAATGGAACAGAGGTTGTTGTATTCAATGCAATCAACCGACCGGGAACACTTCGAAAACAGCAAAGCTGAAAAGGAATCGGGCTCGTTTGGAATACGATTGCTTTTAGAATCGAGGGTGAACTGCGCAGTTAGGTACTGCAATCCCACTGAATCTGATCGGAATCGCGTTTGGGGAGGGGGGCTTGTGAAGTGGCCATTTCGCAAGCACTGACGATATCAACTCGGCTGATGACAGTGAAACGTCCGCGAAGAAATTGTCAAGCTCGGCAAAAACGCGAAATGGAATTCAGTTCACCCGAGCTGCGAGAACCTATTTCCAATACTTTGCACACATTTTTCTTGATCAGATGAGAATTTACAAGGTTGTTCCTGGAGTGAAAAGCCTAATTGTTCTGCATCAGCTTGGTTTGACCTAATACAGAGATTTGAATGTCCAGTGGCTCCACCACGCAGAGAAAGACAGCACCGCGCACAACGCACAAATATTACCATCTGGCGGAATGCATATTGATATCAAATCGTCTAACTGTGTGCGGTCATTCTCCGGCATACAATATATCTATATAATCCCCAACCAGACACCGGACGTGTCTTTCCTTACTATCTACTTCTATATACGGACAGCATCGGTTAAATTCATTTGTGACTGGTCCCGTCTTGAATTTTGCTCTGAAAGTGTCAGGGATAGAATCAAGCTTAGAAGGAACTGATTCAGATTTCATCATCTCAAAAACATTGCACCGCGTTCAGTGATGTTGAAATGAAAGATTAACCATTAAGTAGAAGTAATGATAATTTGCAAGGTAATGAATCTTGAATTACCTTGGCTTGTTCGTCGGCTTCGCGTTTCTGTTGAACAATAATGACCAGGAAATCGTCGCACTCCTTCTGGAAACTAGACACTTTTTTGCGTGTTTCTTCCAATTCCACAGACATGACTAAAAACACATAAACAAGTGTTAACTTTTGAAACCAATGTTACTTCATATCGAAAATTCTTCATACACAATCCCGAAAGAAAGATACCGTGTAGGCAAAAACTGATGGGGTTTAATCGATGAGGTTATTATTCTCCACATTATACAATCATTTTATGAAAGGGTAATGATCAAGTGATTCACTCTGTTTGGTACATCTAAAAGTTCCCCTAAAACCACATTTGACTTTGTCAGAAGTTGACTGAAAACCCCGAAAAATGGCATTATGCCTTAAATAACCCGCACAACACTGTAATGCATTTAAATACGTCGTTTGTGCGCATAGAAATAATGGAATGAAAGGAGTGAAATGGGGGAAGTTTCTCGTTGCATTTGTTCTTACCTTCAACCTTCTCTCGTGTTTCATCGATTTTTCCCAAGCCATTGTGAAGTTTGTCAGCCTTATCACTCAGTTCTTGACGTTTCTGATAAAGAAGTCTGTATTTCCGGGGAAAAATTAAATACATCAATGAATTCAGTCGAATGTATAATTCTGATCGTAACTATGGAGATAAAAAAACACGAATTTTGCGAAATATCTAAGTAACACATAATACGGTACATCTATGTTGATTATTTGTAAAATTTATCCCAACAAGCAGTTTTATCTTATTTTGCCGAGACTATATAAGTCAGCATCATAATTAAACCCATGTATATATCTATATATCACCGGCTTGCGAGCAAGCTTGGTGCCAACGGAACAACAAGAATAACAGAGATTGAATGGGTTGGTATACAAAACAGTGAGGTGAGTTATAGTGAGCAACAAGAATGACGTTTTGTTTGTTTGTTTCACCGTACATAGATCAGTATCAGCACGAATTCAGTCCTCATTTATAATAGATCAGCTTAACTACACATATTACTTACAAAATACCTAACTATAAATACAAAAATTTCAAAGATAAAATCAGAAATCATGAGAATGCTCTGTGACATTCGATAACCCTATATACAGTTGACTGCGTCTTTCCTTCCTTTCTTGCGACCCATCGGTTTCGGACTCGAAAGAAAGCACTTCAGGTTCTATTGATCTAGGTTTGATAGCATCAAGCCTTATTGCACTTAACAGAATAGACCGACCGTCGATTCATTTTCAATTCGGAATGAAATGTCGAGGTAGAACCATGTATTTAGGTTAAATACCGAAGTTTTAGCCCGTATCAAGTAACATGACTTTGTGTTTCAACTGGTCCGTCTACCACAACCAGATCGGTGAAGAATCTGAGCGAAAAGCACTTAATTCTTAACTCAGTCAAATACGCCTGTTAGTTTGCTTATTTGTTGGACACAAACACACATTGGAACGAAGATTTTATTGAACATTAGTTATCACCAATCCCTAAGTAAATCTTACAGAAACCAAGGAAATCGAATCAATCAATCAATCCAAGGGTGTCAGTCGCATTCAGGAGGTATGGGCGATTCGCATAGCCTCGTATGCACCACTTACGATTTGTATCCGGATACAAGCTCCAGATAATTTGTTGGTGTCACGTAGATGTGTCGACGTAACTCAGCCAATATGACCAGGGCCATATCAGACACTGAACGATGCATCGATGCAAAGATTTTGGCCACACTCGAGCGTAGTTTTTCCTGGGGCGTGATACGTGCACAAATAAAAATGGAACCCTCGTCAGTTGATGGCAAGACGAGCGAATTCGGTGAGGGAAAAAGCTTTATGCATCAGTACTGATCAGTGAAAGATTGAACTAAGCATGGAAATTAAACACAAAAGATGATTTCATACATTCTGTTAGCTAAAATTGTTACACTACCAATGAGATATACAGATGGAAGCTATTTTCTTAGGAAATTCATGCGACAGTTTGTGCTGTATTGTCCCATTGCTTGTGTGTGCGGTCTAACATAGAACTCCTACACATTTGATCAACCACCTCATTTATCACCTGCCCATCTATACCTTATTCCTTTTAGGAACCGGTGGACCCCTGAGCAGAAGTAGTAAAACTGCAATAAAACCCCAAAAATTAATCGAATCTTCAATTTGGACTAAGTTTACTGATTGCCATGTTCCGATGATAAACATCACTTGTTTCGGCATGAAACCGAGATTAGTGATGAATCTCAGTGATTGTGACAACTAAATGGTAAGTGACTGAAGAACTTTTATCTTATTTTAACTCGAAAAGATTTGTTTAGTAAACAGTGTGTACTCCGGACGAAAGTTTTGTTAACATGACTTTTTCTAAGGAGTTTGAATAGGAAAACAATCTTCAAATATGTAAAAATTAAATAAACAAGAATGGATATATGGGACAAATGGGAAGTTATTTGAAAGTCCTTATTTGTGAACAACTTCTACAACTATATGCTATTTATTACTAGCCCCAGCAAACTCATTTAAAGGCTTATCACTAGTTGTTATTTTTTCTAATATCTTCTATGCAACTAATTATTGGAACATCGCCAATTTGACAGTGGAGCCGTTGACGTTAGACGCAGTCTTTCATTCACATACAACTTCGAAGTTTACTTTGAAACTCGAATACAGATCCCAGACCAGAATAGTTCATGTTTATCTGGGGTACAACATGGGATTCTCGTTCGTTTTTTTTACTAGAAAAGCAATACTCTGAAACATCTTGTTTCACTAATCGGGGATTACTCCCGAGGTCCTTTTGATTAAATCCATAATTCCTAATTTACGACAACAGACTGAACAAACGTATTGATTCCTCATATATTTGATGATTTGGGTTTACTGGATTAGTGTAATCGATGGTGAATGAAACCACTGGGGGATCGTCGGTCTACTCAACTGGTTTGCAACTTTAGTCCATTTGAATTGCACCGTGACACAATCAACCAGGAAGACGATGACTTTATGTATGACAAATTCGTATGATAGCCTTGACCACAAGATTGGAGCACGCGTTAGGCACCCCGATGAGGGACCTTGGGATCAGCGTAATCGACGGTTCGGGTAGCGATTAATGTCCGTTTCGCAAACAGTGGCACTCGTGCATCCTCTCACTCTCTTTGCAACCTTAGTCTATCTGAAATCTCTATCTCCACATTGATCACACATCCCCTCCCTACTCCTTCATCTAAATGAGTTTGTCTAAGGACAGTAATCCAAACCGCTGCCAGAGGAAAGTGTATGGTTGACGGTTGCATGAACGGAAACTTAGACCGTAGCTAGTGATGAATAGCGCTAGATAGTAATAATGATTCGATAACACGGTTTCCAATTTATATCATTTCAACCTTACCTGCTTTTTGGCAGCTAACTGTGGCTGAAAAATAAAGTGAGATGGGATAATTTGAGTTCATAATTCATGTCAGTAATTTCAATGATGAGAAATGTCCTGTCTAATCAAATAACTAAGCCCGTCATTGAGCATGTGCTGGGTGTTACACATCAAACAGCCATTCTCCTGGTACCCTTGAGTTTTACTCCATATTGGGTGGCGGGGGTCAAGAGACAAGGATCGTTATAGTTCATTATAGTTCATAATTATAGTGTATTGCTGTTCAAGTGTTCGAATCCCTCTACCTACCCCCATCTTCACTTCTGTGCTTCTTCAGGCAGTCTGCGGTTCGCCACAGACCTATCCCTGGAATTGAACAGTGCAGTTGAACATTCAATAAATAAATAAAAACAAAACATTGCTTGATTATTATATGATATATGTTCTAAAGATATATTTCTTTTTGTGGCTTCATTTCATCCTAATTACGATAGCCTTATGAGTAATTAAACTAATACCACACAGGCTCATTCGGATTACTAGATAAGCCCGAAGTATTCAAGATGACTGGTTTATTGCAGATTAACGAATAATACGATGGACTCAAATGGTTTACCAATGCAAACATAGTAAAAACAGTTTGATAAGTGAGAACAATGATCAGGGAATAAGAAAAGAAAAAACCTGAGATTAACCAGGGTGATGCATGTCGTTCATTCGTCAGGCATCTTTCAAGGAAAACACCGAAACGCAATATGTTTAAAAGGTAACCTATTATTGCGTATATATGTGACCCATGATCGGTGTTTACGTAAAATCAGTGCATGGATTTATTGCATTAGACATTTGATATGAAACCGTGGTAAATCAAAAAGGACCAGGCAAAACTGCAACGCTGCCTCTATTTCTCCCTCTCCCGCTTCCCGCGCATTCAACTTGAGCGGTCAAGTGCAGATTTTTTTTAAAAAAAAAAAACTATTCTGGCACCAATGGCACTTTTGTGAAAAAGGCAAAAACATTTCGGTGTTAGAATTAGCCAGCTATTCACCTACCGTTATTTTCGTCCTCTGGAATAAGAAATAGGTCAGTCAAAGCATGAACAACAATTTTCGCCAGAATAGATCGGGTGTAAGTGAAGCACAACTGACGGGGAGATGCATGTCAAAGGGATAGTAGGATGTACACAGTTTGAGTCTGGGCGGCTGTGATATATCGCACAGTATAGGGATGATGAACCAGTGAACGAGCAAACTTACATCGGCTTCACCGACGATGAGAATGACCTCACTCAGATACTTATCGGCCACTTCAAGTAAAGCCTCCATGGGCCATTCACTGAACCAATCAATGGTCGTGCAATTCACAAAAGCTGGATACATGCGCATCCGGTTACGGAACGGTTCACCAATCGGGCTCATGCAGAGCACAATATGCAGGTTGGAACGAACACGATCGATGAAATATTGAAAAATGCCCTGTTGATCAAACCGTGAGAGAGATGGAGAGTTGCGATTAATTAAATTTCCTGTATTCCAATATGGCAATAAAACAAACTGGACCGTTTAAATGCATTCATAGTAAATTTTTTGACACCCAGCAAGATCTAGGGAGAGTGTAGTGCTAATAAAATTAAAAACAATGAGCGAGAGAAAAATGGCGCATTGCGTTCCACTTGAGTTTGAACACCATTATACGCATCGAAACCCTACAGAACCCATGTTATGTTTATTGTTATTATTGTTGTGACGTTGGCACCATGCGTATCTACAAGTCGGTGTAACATATATAGATATACATATACAGTCAATCTCCTGCTATGTCACACCCCTGAGAAGTCTCATTTTCCAATATCTTCCCACTTTTTCGAAAACCCAAATCAATCGTATGCCTAATAACGTAGTTTCTGACTATGCGATGTCGCACCCCCCCCCCCCCCCCCCNGACGCGTCCATGGCACTGTTCACTGATTGGATAATCCCAGCGAGAAAGTCACACCGATGCATGGAATCGGAGACAGTGTCATTTGCCGGCCAAATGTGCAAGCGCCTATCGATCAGAGAGAAGCAGAATGTGTTGGAAATGCTGAAACAGCCAGGTACAACTCAGAGCTCCGTGGCCAAGTCACTTGGAATTTCACAAAAACTGTCTACAATGTTGTATCCCATCGAACGACTATCGGGGAATTTTTGGACGCTAGCGCATCTGAGGGAAGGTGCCACCTGAAAACCAACGAACAGTTCAAGGCAGTGAATGACGCAAGTTTGGCTTGGTTTATCGCTATGAGGGAAAAGCACGGAGAGTTCCCTATGGTGGAGAGCATCTTACTTAAGAAGGCAATCCAGATAGCACAAAGATTGTATCATAATAACTTCAAGGCTTCCAAAGGTTGGTTTCGCTCTTGGTCAGACAGATATAGTATTCAATCGTACAAAGTGAGAAACAAGCAACTCATATGCATTAATTTATAGGTCTGTGGGGAAAGTCTAGCGGTACCACGTGATGCAGTGGATGAGTTTCGAGCGGGGTTACTGCAGTTGATACAAGTATATGCTGACTGATATTTTCAATGTAGATGAAACAGCTTTGTATTACAGGCGGCTCCCAGAAAGAACATTGAGTCTGAAAGGAAAGACAGTTTCTGAGCCCAAGAAATCCAAAGAGAGAGTCACGTTACTGCTTTGTGGGAGCACGACTGGAGAAAAGTTATCAACGTTGGTGATTGGAAAGTTTCAAACTCCACGATGCCTCCGGGGTGTAGATAGAAAAAAGCCTTCCATGCAGTTATAATTATTCAAGGAACGCATGGATGACTTCTATGTCATTTCACAGTTGGCTGTCCGCTGTCAACCGAAAAATGGNCCAAGCCGCAGTATTTTCCAATATCAAATTGGTACGGCTGCCTCTGAACTGTTCTTCGATGTTACAACCAATGGATCAAGGCGTGATTTGGTCTTTCAATTGTCCGTTTCGGAAACATTTATTGGAATATGTTTTGTCTTTGATCGAAGATGAGCAACGTATCACGAAAGCCGAGGTGGACATTCTCATGGCCATACATCTGGTGAAGAAAGCTTGGGTGTCTGTGCACCCAAACGTACTGATCATCGCTTTCATGAAAGCAGGGTTCAAATCCACATTGATTCAGCTGGTGATGCAGCCACCAGAGGATAAATGCGATCTGATCGAGGAATTTACTTATTATGTGTCTATTGATGACCGCCTTTTTGAACAAGGAATAGTCTG